TTTCTGTTGTTGTCATCGTTGACTTGTGAGTGGATGAAGATCGCGAATGCGTGACGAGGATGACAACCTCCAAACAAACACCACAGCGTCACCCGGACTTTGTTTCAGCTGCCGAAGCCCCATTGAGCAAAGCAAAACAACCTTTTACGAAAACCACCACGGCGCAAGACCGTCGGCAGTGGCGGCTGTCACAGGAAATTGCGGGAGGGAATGTGCAAACTGTTAAGAACAAAACAAAAAACAATATAATTTACAAGACTATAACGAGACGAAATTAACGATACTCAATTAAGGAGCAGGTTAGGATAATACGGCAACGTTATTCGACACTGCAGAGCACCAAAGTAGACCAAAGATCACGATCATTGGTTGTGTGTGTATATAGCAGCAGACCAAGCTTTCCCACCTGATGACGGACCCTTGTGTTGCGCCAGAAACGCCGTGATTTATTTGATTTTATACCTACGTGACTTTACCGAAAGAACCAAAGAGGATGTGTGTATATACACAATATAATGTCTGAGCTCACCGATAAACCGACCTGATGACACTGTGGAGGTAGAGATTGCGAGACGAACATTCTACGAAGACGACGACGACCACGAGCGTGACGGAAACAACCAATCCTGACTGAACCAACACTGGCGCGGAGGGCGCGCACAAGAGCAATGCCTCTCGACCGCGGTGACAAGGGACGTCGCGCGCACGCTGCCCGCAGCACCCAAACCTCCAGCAAGTTCCACACATCACAACACCCCACTCACCGCGTCCCTTTCTTCAATCGTCTACACCCCATTCAAGCCAATCCTCACTCATTAAGAACCAGTGGTTCGTAACCTTTACTGCAGCCTTGCAGCCCGTCGGTTCACAATCGTTGTTTTTTGTTGTTGTTAGCATATATAATGTTAATACACACATCAGTTTGATGAAATAAAGTAGTTGTATTTACGTGCCCGTGTTTAATTTGTCTTTCGATTATTTACCGTCTAAAAAAACAATCTGGACATGCCTCGCACCTCCAGAAAGGTAATCTCGCACACCCAGGGGTTGCGTGCACCCCAGGCTAAGAAGAACCACTGCTCAAGACCCACCAGCGAGAACGACTTTCGAGTTCACTTCATTTCTGTACCTGATCATAAGACGCTCGGGGAAAATAAGCCGCAAACCAAAAAGGCGTCATCGGCGTCAATAAATGTATACAAATATGGTCAGACACATAGCGAACCTCTGCTTTATACCCAGTGGGAAAAGTGCGGCTCATTCCGGAGAATACGTTAACGGTGATAACGCACAGCTATCCGTCAATAAACTTCTGGATGAAGTCTTCGCCGCGCCGTGCTGGTCGTGGGGGTGTATGTGTATATACTTTACCACGCTGTTTACTGCGTGCTGGTGGAAAAAAGGAAAACGAGGCCATCGAGACCGGTTCAGACATCACTTCGCCGCAGAATCCACTGCCGCCAACCGTGGCCGATAGTCGAATCGTTGCAGCGCGCTCACCACGACGGCGACCGCTCCACCGCTTGACTAATTAACACCCAGCTGCAATGGCAAATTAAGTCGTTCCACGCTGCACACGCCACACGATTGCCGAACGCGGCCCACGTGCTACAATTCAAATCAACGGATCGTGCGCGTGCGCGCGCGTGCGTTCCGCGTGACGGATGGAGCGCGGGTGCTGATTCAATTTAAATACGAGCGCTTTGCATCGCGTGCCGTGTGCTGATCGACCGGAGGGCGCGTGCGGCGTTATGAACGCTTTACTCGTCATTGAGGCGCGCAAATTGGTCGACTCGGGAGACGCGCCGTGGTGGTGGGTCGCGACGGATGTGGAAACTCTGACCCACACGGAGATTAAGTGGCGCATCCCTCAGGATTATGCGATGCACCCCGAACCTGTGCATCGCCGTCAAAACAGTTATACAACTCTTGTCACACAAAAACACACGCCGGTCTGATTGCCAGAGGCGCGCCCCCCCCCCTCCCAACTTGTATTTTAATGCGCAGTGATTTGGCGCGAGAGGAGGGCCGTCTTATTACACGAGAGGATTTGCGCGAATGACGCTCGTCTCTATCAACAATCAAAGTTTCCAACGTCGCGGCAAGCAATTTGGTCGTGACAGAGCGACCGTGTTCCTCTCTGCAACCGCGCGCGTCTCGTGGATGCGGGCACACAATGAGACCCGGAGGTCATCGAACTCCTCCGCCCTTCGGGCCTCCCGCCACGAGCCGCAGACCAGACAGAGTGTTCGGGATATCCTCAAATGGCACGCGAATGAGACGGCACGTGCAGTGGTTGATGGCTGCATGGTAGGTCGAAACCACTTGGACCACCGTGGACTTTGAACACTGCTGACGGTCAGGGATTCATTTCAGCCGGGTTCGATGCGGTTCAGTGATACGGAAGAAATATGCATTGCCCGGCACACCACATCCATAATATTTCTCACTCCGGGTGGGCCTCATAGTCACGTGCCTCCGACAATCCACCAGCGACCTGACAACTATTCATGAAATAAATTAATCCTTGCGGTCACAGATTGAAACAATCGCTGTTTTTGTATCGCTGTTTTACTCGAAAATGGCTCCGAATTTAAACTTTAAGCGCATTTCGTGTCCCCAGCTCTTCTGTGCTTTTCCGAGAATTCCTAACGGCACTAAATATTACATTCGCCGGTGCGCGCGTCTCTGCGGGGTTCCCGTAATATATACAGCGCGTGAAGTTGATGTCATTTCGAGAGTGCACAGATGCTGCACGGGTCGTTTCGCGAAATGTACCGCGTGGGGGTCGATGGTCCTTCTCTTAAGGTATACGGTGACGCATCATTCCACACACCTCGCGAGACGGCCTGATGTAATCAACAACGCGCACTTGCGTCTGTGTCTATGCCAGTGGTGCTTCTTCTTCTTCTTCTTGACCCGGGGTGCACGCACCGCCACCTGGGGGTGCGAGATGCCCTTTCTGGGGGTGCACGACAATCCGGATTTTTTTTTTTTAGAAGGTAAATCATCGAAAACACAAACTAAGCACGGGCACGTAAGTACAACTACTTTGTTTCATCAAACCCTCTGTGTGTATTTATTCACATCGCTACATTTTTTTTTACGAGTGAGAACCAAAGGGGTGCAAGGCTGCGGTAAAGGTTACGAACCACTGGTCTATGCGAATGCATAGAGTGCACGTTGTTGGCGCGCTGCTCTACGAATCTAGCAACCCGGTATTCGATTCCCGCTCACGGCCAACACCGGTGACGATTATCTGAACCGGTCCTGGGCATCCCCTAGGTCGACTCAGCCTCAAATGAGTATCTGGTGTGATGTATGAGCATCGCCACTAGGGAGACAAAGACGGCCTGGCGTGGTGTTGACCACCCACCCCCTCGTGTGCCTTCACAGGTGCTCGCTAACAGCACTTGCCCCAACGATCTGTGAAGGCTATACGGGGGATCTTTGTGTGTGCTGGTGAATGCGCCTAGTGCACGAGCGTGTATGTAACTGCACACTCGTGCACCTGTGTGCCGATGAATGCGCTAGTGCGCGCGTGTGCATTTGAGTGCACGTGCGTGTGTGTGTGAATGCACACGCGAGCACGTGCACGCGCGCGCGTGAATGCGCACGTGATTGTTGGTGTTCGCCGTGGGCGCTTTGCACGTGCGCGTCGCTTTCACGCCGTTTGCGGTTCAAGATCGCGCGCTCTCCCGTCGCCACCAATTACGGGAATCGTGCCCAGTGAGCGATGCGAAAGCACGAGGCGGCCATGGCAATGACTCGTGGCTCTCAGTGCAAGCACGACACTACACCACCACCACCACGTGGAGCTCACCGCTGCCGTCTGTCACGGCGGTAACACCACTAGCACCCCTCCCGTGGGTCATCGATGCCCCAAATAAAATCACTGCGGAACAGCAGCCTTGTCATAAGAGCAGGCGACTGCATACATACATAACAAAGATCCCCCGTATAGCCTTGACACACTGTTGGGGCAAGTGTTGTTAGCGAGTATCTATTAGGCCGGAACGGTACACGAGGAGGTGGGTAGCCAGCAACCACGCCCGACTGTTTACACATCGCACCAGGTACTCATTTGAGGCTGAGTCGACCTAGGAGAGGCCAAGGAAGGATTCAGATAATCGTCACTGGTATTGGCCGTGAGTGGCAATCGAACTCGAGTCGCCAGGTTCGTAGCGCAGTGCGCTAACCGCTACGCTACCGCTCCCCATACACACACACGTGCATGCGCATCATACTCCAACTCTCTCAACCACCCGGGCAGTGCCCCCCCCCCCCCCCCCCCCCGTTTCCTTGCCATCACCCAACTCACCCAGCACAGACTCCTCGATAACGAGGGATTGCAGTGGCCCCTTCAGGACCGTAAATGTACCCAGACGCGCCTTTATCCATCATGTGGCGAACAGCGGGTCAAACGATTGGCAATTTCCCGCTTTATACACACGCGGCTTTATCACTCCGTAAATCGCGGAGACGGGGCGCGGGCGTTTTGCATCAGTGCCGCGGTGCGACTGTGGCGAACGCAATAACCGAGTTAGCGGCGCACGTGTTCGACTGCGACCGTAAACACGCGCGAGGCACGCGCGGGCCCACGTCCAGCAAAATAAATCTAAACAGCCAATAATGTGACCGCAGCAGCAAGCAGCAGCAGCAAGCAGCAGCAGCAGCGCTATAACACACGACGATATAGCGTGAGTAGATCATCCGGCGAGGCGCTTGGGCTATCGGCCGAAAACTCCACTCGAAATAAAAATCCATCTTCCACTTATTTCGCTGTTATCACGCGCGGGCCAAAGCAACAACTACTGCGCGTCAATAGCGATGATGATGATGATTATTTGTAACCAATAAAAAGCTTCATTCACATCAATAAATATAGGGAGAGTCCCGCTGCCGATAAAAGACAACTGGCAAAGCTGCGTCGCTGCCGCGGGCGCGTTAACTAATAGCCTGCCGATGTGCAAGGCATTCAAGCAAAATAAGGAACTTACCGGCTTCCCTGCTCAGCGCACACGACCGCTGGCGCGTCTCCTTCACTCGACCCGCGGGGATGTCCCTGCTGGCGGACGGATGAGTGCTTGACTGGCTGACGGGCTCGCTCACTGACCCGCGGGACGGATCATGTCTGGCCGGTTGACTGTCTGGCCGGTTGACTGTCTGGCCGGTTGACTGTCTGACTGGCTGGTTACGTGGTTGCTTGACTATCTGCTTGGTTGACTGCCTAACCGGTTGACTGCCTAACTCACTGGACTGTTTGACTCGCTGGCTGGATCGCTCGCTGGCTCGCTGGCTGGCTTGATGACTGTCTGGCTGACTGTGTGGCTGGTTGACGGGCTGGCTAGCTGACTGGCTGCCTGTCCGGATTGATGACCGTCTGACCGGTTGACTGGCTGGCTCGCTGGCTGCCGGCCCGGACTGACGACTATCTTGATTGGATGGGATGTGCGGGAGGGTGAATGGAAGAAGCGTGCGCGCCGTGCCGCTGCGCGCCGCTCGCTCTCGCTGCGCCGCTGTTCGCTCGCGTTTTGCCTTCGGCTTGCGGCACGAGAAGGGACGGCGTGAAGAGAGCCGCTGCCACCACGAGCTCTCCCAAACCCCACCCACTCACCCACAGATGATCGGCTCCCTCGCGGGGGGGTTTTTGTTGTTGTTGCCGACGGAGGGGGGTGGTTGGGGGGGGGGGGCTGGGATTGGGGGTTCGGTCGCGAGTTCTGTCCACACGAGCCGATCTCCCCTTCAAGTCTTTGTCTCACTCAAAGGCTCAGCTGCGACTCCACGCAGCAGTCTTGCCGGGTCACCGTGCTCTCGAGTTCGCGCTGGACGGCTCGAGTGCATCTCACTCACACGCAGGCACATGCGCGCACAGACATGCACACACATCGCCCCCCGCTGTAGTAGTGTTGGGGCAGCAGACGCTGTGAGTGAGCGCTGATTGAGGCTGGCTCGCTGTGAGGCCGGGTCGCACCCGGCATGCGGTGGTTGCCGACTGAATTATGCCGGAACAGCATGACGATGAAGTTCACACACCGTAGCCGGTCGTAATTTAAGGCTGTGACAACCTAGCGGAGGCGATGGGGAAGCTAGGTGGAGATTCAGATTGCCACCCCCGTGTCGTGCATGCGCCGACATCGTGGTTGCAGCGCGCGAACTGCTTCCGACTGCCGTTGTTCCGCCGTCACTTCACGAAGCACACGAGCGCGCACACCCACGCGTGCGCACACTTACACTCTCAGCCCCAAAAATAGGTGCTAGGTGCTGTTATTGACCAAGGGCTGATGGTGGTGAAACGCCCCTGTTGCGTCAGAAGAAATCCATCCCCATCCAACTGACCCAATCCGATGCTCAAAAAACACTCGACGCATTGGATGATGGAAACAACTGTCAATCATAAAACATCGATAAGTCTTTCCAGACACCAACGGTTTTACAGAGTGCTGTCCAACTCGTATCCACGATAACTCTCTGGCCTATGTGCTGTAAATAAGGGCCATTTCCCGAAACGTCGCCTCTTCTGTATTTGTTTCATGTTCAGGCTTGGCGTGTCTGCTTGATGTCGTGGCTGTGACGTGGGGCACCCATGGGATGCGAGAGTCAGGCAGTGATTAATTTTATCCTGACGTGCCGCTCGCTGCATCCGTTTATATCCTGAGTGTGTCTGTGATTTATTTACACCCTTCAACCCGGAGCTAATCTGCTATCACAATAAAGCGTTGTGTGATAAGAGTATCATTTTGGAGGCTCTAGGAGCCAAAGTGCCGCCTAAAATGATGAATGTGTTGCGTTATCCCATTGCTTAAAGTGATCGCATTGCTTCGCAGGCACGATTTAATGAAAACGTACAACTTAGTGCAGCTTCGGATAAGGTTACTGGAACGGCTTCTGCGGTTTAAACGTTCGCAAAGTACACGGCATCCAGAACGAGCAGGAGATAGTCTCGATCAGCTAAGAGCTGAGGCAGCACAAGTGAGATCCCGGGTTCGATCCGAGTTTCAGCCACCCATGATTACACCGGGTTCTCAATTATCGATTTGATTCTAGATTTGAAGCTTTCGTGACTGCAAGGATTCATATTCTTAGGTTTTGTCGGTAAAGTCACGTAGGTAAAAATTTTAAATAATAAAAGTAAAGTAAAATAAAAATCACGACGTTTCGGAGGCAACACAAGCTTCCGTCTTCAGGTGGAACCGTCACAGCCACGACAGCTGTATCAAGTAAGTGAGAGATTATAAGAGCTACCACTCCGTATATATAATGGTTGAAGAGGGGAAGGGCCAAGTACGGCATACTTTTTATTAATATGGTAAGGTGAGGCTGATTATGTTAACCCAATCACCAATGCCAAAAAAACGCATGTCATTTTCTCGTTTATTTGACGCATATTTACGTCTTAGATGACGAACATGCCTCGAGTTCAGGACGTGTGGCGAATTGCAGCGGCCCCTAGTGTGGATGACAGGCGACTTCCACGTGTTTCAGACGAAGTGCTACGGTCAGAACCGGCCCTAGACCTTTGGGGGCCCTAAGCCAAATTTGGTTGGAGGCCCCTTTGATGTATGATTTTTTTTCACCCACTCGCTAGCAGTGACTCTAGGGGGCCCTCTGCTGGCCACGGGGCCCTTTGCAATTGCAAGGGTCGCTTAGTGGCTGGGCCGGCTCTGGCTACGGTATCTCCTTCCGCGCCCGACCTTCTCGAACACGGGCGGAGTTTGATGCGCTGCTGCTGCTGGGCGAGAATTACAAAACGAGCACTTATTCTCGTGACACAATGCCGACAGGACAATTGGAATAAAATGTAAAGAAGAAAAAAACCGCACACAACTAAATCATTGAACACGACCACGTGTTTCATGGAGGCCCCGGCGTAGGCTGCGTCTGAATGCATCGCGCATCGCGCATGCGAGTCCTTGAAGTCGCCAATTAGGCTTGAGCCCCAGGTCGATGCTAACTTTTCAGTGTTGGAAATCCCAAAGATCGTTAACTCAGTCAAATGGGAATATTTGGGGTGGGGGGGGGGGCAGTCGGAGGAGCAGGGACGGCTGGCGAGGTCTGTAAGGCGGGCGGCTTGGAGTGTCGTTGTGACGAAGCCAGCCACACGAGTTCGATTCCCGCACACGGACAACACCAGTGGCGATTATCTGAACGGGTCCGGGACTTCGCCTAGGTCGGCTCAGCCTCAAATAAGCACCTGGTGCAATGTGTAAAAACATCGCCACTGATGGGACAAAGACGGCCGGGCGTGGTGTCGGCCACCCACCCCCCTCGTGTGCCGTGCCGGTCTTCATAGGTGTTCGTTCCTAGTGCTTGCCCCAACAGTCTGTCAATGCTATACGGGGGGGTCTTTGTTTGGGGGGGGGGGGCAGTCGCAGGAGCAAGGACAACTGGCTGGGTCTTTAATGCAGGCGGTCTACCATCGTCATGTTCGAGATGAAGGGGGCACTGAATCCCGCGATGTGGCAGTGAAAACACAGAGAGACGGACACCCCGCAAAAACACTTCCATTCTGATTATGGGACACACGTGTCAAGGCCGTTATGTTCACGGCTCAATATGTTTTACGTGATAAGGAGGGCATCAATATATAATGAAGAGACGGGGGGGTGGAGGTACGATATAAGTGTGGAGAGGGGGGGGGCGTCACCTGATTTATATGCGTGCCAGCCAGCGCGGTAATTACTCTTAGACTTCTGTGGTGCACAGAAATCAGAGAAGAAAACCCACCGGAGAAGCCGAGTTTAACTTTTTTTGTTTCTCTTTGCAAGGCTCATTAATAGTCAACGCGGGCAACGGCGTCTTTGCGAGAGCCGCTGTTGGACGTGCGCGTTTAGCCGCCAGGAGCAAGACGTCGTTTGGGGGCCTTTAATGAAGATGCGAGCGAGCACGCGACGGGCGGTGTTGAGACGCAATTAACCCAGGTATCCCCACCCACCCACCCCACACACACACACACAAACCCCGCGCTCTGGGTTTAAACGCCACCGCATTCAATAGCCCGCGGGGTCGATGGCATCGGACGCGCGCGGAGGAGCCACCCACGCACCACGCGATGTTGAGATCGCCACTTGCTGGTGACCTGCAAAATAGGCACGAGCTGCGGGTTGGTCAGCGGCGGTCTTAGTATCTGTGTGTGTGTGCGTGCGACGAGTGCGTGGAGTTCGTGTGTTTTGTTACGTTGGTGAGCGGTAGGTTAATGGCCATTAAACTGCACTACCAAGCTCGGCGACTATTTGAGTTCGATTCCCGCTCACAGCCAACATCAGTGGCGAATATCTGAGCTGGCACTGACTGGGCCTCCCCATAGGTCGACTCAGTCATACGTGAGAAATACCTGTTGCGGTTTGTCAATATCCGCACCGGAGATACAAAGGTGTCCGGGCGTGGTGCTGGTCACGCCGAGTTTGCTGTCGGCCTTCATAGGTGCTCCCAAAGAGCAATTGTCTTTGTCTTCTTAACATACACGTAAGAAACTAAAGGTGCGATAACAATAAAACGCATTTGCGTACATCTAAAATTGTGAATTTTTGTATATAAATTCTGTATATGCATTGGTTTAAAGCCGAGTTTTTCCAGTGTATTATATTTAAAATATATATTGTGTCGTATTGTGGAGCATTAATCATCACCATCAGCCATGGTCAATCCACTGCTGGATGGTCTCCAAAGGCCTTCGCAATCTCTCACGGTCCTGCGATGGAAGAGTCCACCCATCCTCTCCCGTTGTTGGTCTCGACCGTCGGATATGAAATCATCCTTTCAAACGACGTCTCCTGCTGCAGCCCAATTCACTTTTCTTAACGTTCAATAACAGTCGCGTCTCCAACTTGCAATATGTTCTCCCATCCACGTGTTGCTCTTTTTGGGTCTCAGTGCAATGCCGTGCTTCTTTGCGTACTTTTCATATTTCTCCCGCAATGTTCTTCGTCAATGTCTATGTTCCCGATCCCCGTGTCGAAACAAGGTAATGTACATCGTTTAAACACTTTCGTCGTTGGGCCCATCGGAATTGAGCATTATGGGAAATGCCATAGCTAAACAAATAAGCCGAAAGTGCGTTGCTTGTTTGGAAATGGCCTTCTGAAAAGTCCATAAATTGGGCTAAACAATTTCATGTTATGTGCACAGATAAAGGCGGTACTCCGTTGCACGTCCATCACGAGGCCCTCCCAAAGCTGGGACGTCAGCTGCAATAGAAACTTGCCATTCAATGTCACAAGGAAAGAGCTTTGTTGGAATTGTAGAAAGTTGGCCCACTTCATTCATTCCCATAGTTGTTTTGTAGTATTATTATTATCTACTGAGTTGTCTGAAGTCAACCTGCACATGCCATTGTCGGATATCCTTGCTGCAGTTATTTTGGCTCCAATGAGACAACATCTGTCAATGTTTGCTCATTTTGTAAGAGGAGCAGCTTGCACACACACACACAAAATTTACTCATGTAAAACATGACGATGAGTTATATAACGATGTGTGTTCGCCTCCTCACATAATTTGTATAACGCGGCTGGGATGCAATTATAAATAAATATTAATGAAATACGGTCTACATACGTTCACGTGAGTGCAACTTCAGCAAAAGAT